GTGACAACACTGAAGAAATGACACTTTGCTAGAATGTAAAGTAGTGAGTGTGCAGCTTGTATAATTGTATAACAGGGAAAATGGCTAATTGGGCCCAATTTGGACATTTTCACTTAGGGGTGTACTCAGTTGCCAGCGGATCAGACATTAATGGCTGTGTGTTGAGTTATTTTGACAGCAAATGTACACTGTTTAACTGAATGTATCTGCTGAGCGTATTGGCTCTGAGGATCACTTATACAACCAACTGCAGAAAACCCCCAAAATGCATCTAGAAATGACGGCTGCAATAACTGACATGACAAGTGGATAACATGCTTGTATTCCATCTTAATTCTCAAAAATGCTGTGTTTGTGCAAACATTTGTAAACCACAACACTCTACACTAACAAATCCCACCCATCTTGACTTCTTTCATTCCTCTTCTAGACTCTCCAAAAATCTGTACTGAAAGTCATTAGCCCAGGAGACCAAATAAAAGCCTTCACTGGTCACAAGCCATTACTAACAGCTAACAATTACTCCTACCTTTCTTACCGCCCTTTAGCAGCTTCCATAGCAATAGAGTACCGTTCAGGTCAATATGGGGTGGATCGGCCGCCACATTGAATGTACCCCTTAGGATTACATCAATCTATTCTTCCAGTGTTCCTTGATGACCCTCTCGTCTTTTCTTTTTCACTTTCTCTCCTCAGGTGTGACCCAGTCATCCTCCAGAGTGAACATGAGAAGAGTCACCCATCCTGCCGTACGAGAGTCTCTGGCTGGGTTGGCCCACCTCCCGTGTGTTTTCACCCTTCAGCCCAGCGAGCCCAGACAGCTCAGCTCAGACAAGCCTTCCCACATATGGTGGACTCGAACCTGGGTACCGCGTGGAGAGAGTAGTCCCTCAGAGCAGACAATTATCTCAATGAAAGGCAAGAAAAACGAACATTTAAGCTGTTCATTCAAAGATTTCAACCAGCAATTTTCCATTCACATGGACACTTTCACATTTTGATATATAATGAATTTGACATGTAATTTGTTCAAATAAAATAAAGCATTGTGCTTGATTCTATTTCATAGAATAAAGTACCGTTTTTATTCTTTGCCAAAGGTGAAACGTTAAAGGTGAATAAAGCTTTTGCTGGTCGGGTCCGGTTGCCTGGATACGCTGCGAACAACCTTAATGCTACCATGGAGGTCTCAGGCCTACGTAGCAACGACACGGGCACCTACCAATGCCAGATAGTTGTGGGCGATGACTACGAGAGAGACATAGTGCCCCTTGTGGTCATGGGTGAGTGGTGTTACTGTATCCAACTGGCCTTTATGCTCTATTTAAATACAGTACAACTTTATTGTTCCCAGGGGACAAACACATTCTTTGTGTTCTTTTTTGTTATTAAGTATCTTGTTTGAATTCTTGAATTTGTGCCTAATGTGAATCTCTCATCATTTTCAGATCCAAGGCATGGATGACTTAGAACTTAGAATAATAATTAACAATTTAGAAACCTCAGTGGAAAGTGCGACTTTTAAGTTAAATGCATATGTCTTTGACCAGCTTAGTTGCCTGCGTGAGCAATACCAATTAAGACTTCAAACGTTCGGACCACATTCTTAAGTGCATGGATTAAAAAAGCAATGTCAAGTACTGTTAGTACTATTCCTTTTTGAAATACATCTAAAGCGAGCCGGGTTTCAGGTTTATGTGATCAGAATGGGAACTGTGAACTCATTCGCAACAATTACAGCTGTCAGGGAAACGTCACTGAACGTTCAACCTCTCTCGTCTGAAAGGTTACACATGCTTCTGATGCAACGCTTTTTAAACTTGTATAAAATGTTATCAGTTGCAGGTATCGTCTTGTCAATGTAGCAGCATTTGTACGTCGGAAAAATGTACAAGCGTAATTATCAAGTGTCTTCCACACTTCCACACGGACAGTAACATTTCGTCGGGTGACCTTCGCCAGTGAATGAACATCTTTATGATGTTATTGCTTGTACCATTCCCCATCTGTTTGGCTGAGACAAGGGCGCTTTGGAATCAAAACACAAACCTCTGTGTAACTGTTTGATAGACGGCTCAAACGGGCCCATCGGGATCCTTCTGTGCTTGTTCCTTTTAAGTGAATCCAAATGTTACTGGTTGTTTGGTTCCTTGGGGTGTCAGAAACATGCTGTGGAGACAGACACCGATGTTCAACCAACAACCTTGTGTCTGTCTGTCACCTTTGACCTCTACAGGTGTGGTGTTCCATTACCGGTCTCCTAGCGACCGTTACGCCCTCTCATTTGATGACGCCCAACGGTCCTGTCAGGAGAACTCAGCTATTATTGCCACGCCAACGCAGCTGTGGGCATCGTTCCACAATGGCTATGCCAACTGTGCTGCCGGATGGCTGTCTGACCAGACTGTCCGGTGAGGCCTCAAACACACACATACACACACACACACACATAGGCACACACACACACACACACACACACACACACATAGGCACACAGAGCATAACCTCAAACACACACAGAGCTGGCCCAGTCACCCGTCACACACACACACACACACACACACACAAACACTTATAACACTTAAAGCGTGTCATTCTGTTCGATGATTTCAACATCTGCTGCCAACTCTCAGATCTCTGATCTTGTTAGCATTATCTCCACAGCTACCCTATCCAGTCACCAGAACGTGGTTGCTATGGACACCAGGAGAACTTGGCTGGTGTGAGGAATTATGGGAAGAGAGACCCTAATGAGCGGTTTGATGTCTACTGTTTTGCCAGGGAACTGGATGGTGAGAAACACTGGCATGTGCACACACACAAATACAAACACGTACACACACACAAATACAAACACGTACACACACACAAATACAAACACGTACACACACACAAATACAAACACGTACACACACAAATACAAACACGTACACACACACACACAAATACAAACACGTACACACACACAAATACAAACACGTACACACACACACAAATACAAACACGTACACACACAAATACAAACACGTACACACACAAATACAAACACGTACACACACACACAAATACAAACAAGTACACACACACAAATACAAACACGTACACACACACACAAATACAAACAAGTACACACACACAAATACAAACACGTACACACACACAAATACAAACACGTACACACACACACAAATACAAACACGTACACACACAAATACAAACACGTACACACACACAAATACAAACACGTACACACACACACACAAATACAAACACGTACACACACACAAATACAAACACGTACACACACACACAAATACAAACACGTACACGTACACACACACACAAATACAAACACGTACACACACACTAATACAAACACGTACACACACACAAATACAAACATGTACACACACACACACACAAATACAAACTCGTACACACACACTAATACAAACACGTACACACACACTAATACAAACACTTACACACACATATTGGAAGCAAAATATAGAAACATCTCGCTTCTGATCACTTTTATATTATTGCCTTGGAAATTGTTTAGGCTGTTTAGGACAATAATGATTTTTGTGACAGAACAAGCCCTTTTTCTATCGCTCCCCCTCCTCTCTCTCTCTCTCTCAATACAGGGGAGGTGTTCCACTCGTGGGTCCCGGGGCGCTTGACTCTCTCATCTGCCTCCCACCGCTGCATCTCCCTGGGTGGACAGTTAGCCACGGTGGGTCAGCTTTACCTGGCCTGGAGGGCCGGGCTGGATACCTGCGCTCCAGGCTGGCTCTCTGACGGGAGTGTCCGCTACCCCATCAACCAGCCCAGGCAGGGGTGTGGAGGGGACCAGCCAGGGATCCGGACTGTCATACCCAACACTGATAAAAGCACAACTACAAGTGGATCAGCTAATTCTACAGATCACACACCACTGTATGATGCCTACTGCTACAGAGGTAAGAGAGAGGTCTGTACTGTATTCCAGAAGACCAATGTGCTCAGCAGAAGGTCCCTTTAGCAGCTGACCCCTGTAGCAGCTGGCCCCTGTATCAGATGGCCCCTGTAGCAGCTGGCCCCTGTATCAGATGGCCCCTGTAACAGCTGGCCCCTGTAGCAGCTGGCCTTTGTCGCAGGTGGCCCCTGTATCAGATGGCCCCTGTAGCAGCTGGCCCCTGTATTAGATGGCCCCTGTAACAGCTGGCCCCTGTAGCAGCTGCCCTTTGTCGCAGGTGGCCCCTGTATCAGCTGGCTCCTGTAGCAGCTGGTCTCTGTAGCAGCGACCCCTGTATTAGATGGCCCCTGTAGCAGCTGGCCCCTGTAACAGAAGGCCCCTGTAGCAGCTGGCCTCTTTAGCAGCTGGCCCCTGTAGCAGCTGGTGTTTGCTTGATGACTAAAATGTAACAAAGTAAATCTTCGTAGGTTAGTCTAACATGTTAGTCTAAAATTGAACAAGGTCACAACGAGGAAACAAGAAAGGCTTTTAACTGTTTGCTAAGAATTCCTTGTAGAGGTGTAGCTATGAGGACAGCACTATCACCAGTGAACCATGTCATTAAAATTGATGGCTTGTGAAGTAACCATGACGACGCTGCTGCGCACCATGACATTCGTTGCCATAGACGTAACCAAAGCAATACCAGTTGTGCTCCTGGTAATGTACTAGGTTGAAGATGCCAATTTAAATATAATAAATAAGGCACAAGGTTGTGTGGCATATGGCCAATATATACGATGGCTAAGAGCTGTTCACATTGTGTAGCCGCTGGATACAGCACGGAGCAAAATGAGCAATACATTACGAACCTTCAAACTGGTAACCAACATTACTAGAGTAGTTAAGTTAAATGATCTCATACCTGCAGTATACTTTGTCACATACCACTGCTCTCAGCCAATCAACATTCCAGATTCAAACAATTCGGTTTATAACATGTAATAACCCCGTGAGGGCGCTATGACAGTCACTAGGTGTTGCACATATAGCCAGTATTTTGGGCAAATAGTTCAGTGGTTAGACCGTTGCGCCAGTAACCAAATGGTCACTGGTTCTAATCCTTAAGTTGACAAAAGGATTATATATTTTCTGGTATTAGAATTCTTATGTTTCATCTTTGTTGTCTTCCTGCTGGACGAGGGCTTTAGAGAGGGAATGTGTTTCTCATATTATCCATGAATCCACAGCCATGTTTTATTCGTAGAGGTTTAACATCCTACACATGCTCTTTAATCCTTATGATCTTATGTTTTACTGCCATGGTTTTACTTGACATTCAGAATGAAGCTGGACTGAATAAATCATGAATTGACTCTCATTTCGCCTCACAGGGAGCGTAAAAAAGCCAAGACCCATCTCTACCATCTACACATCTCTATGGAAACCCTGGAACTACCTGAGCAGCACCATCGGCTCAGACACGGCAGCAACAGACAGCGTTGCCCTGGTTACTGAGTCCACCAGCAGCACCCTGGCCCCCGGTGGGTGTGGTTGATTGGATACATGTGAAGTTATGGGTTGGACTTGCCGTTCTAGGTGTGGTTGATTGGATACATGTGAAGTTATGGGTTGGACTTGCCGTTCTGACTCAGATGTTATATTTTGTCCTCTGTGTCGTTGTCACAGAGACTCATACACTTTCACCTTCTGAGGACATCACACCCTCAAATTGGACCGGGTTGGTTGATCTGAAGGAAGGGGACCACTCTAGTAAGACACAGTGTTTGAACCTCTTATACATGTGGAGAACTAGTTCCGACCTGGTTTTGGTTAATCTTTTACATTTCTTCTCAGCCTCAGACTCCTGGCCCTCAGAGTCGTCTGAGGGGTATGTCACCCTGCACCTTAGCCCAGGAGAGAGCTCACTATCCTGGGGGGACCTGAAAGACATGGATCCTGACTCTGGTGCTTTTCTGAGACCCCCAGCCACCCTCAGTCCCAGTTCTAGCTCTAGTCCCAGTACCAGACCAAGTTTCACCAATCAGGAGAAGGAGCCATATTCTACCCCAGTCCCAACTGAAAAAAAGGTTGGTCACCTTTTACAATTTTGGTTAATTAGAAGGTCAGTCACCAATGCTGTTTTGCATGTCTACACATACTGGCCTGTAATGCTAATTGTATTAAAATGTAGCGATTCTGTTGGCTTCAAATCGGTCTGTGTTTTAAGGTGATGTCCAAGATAGTGAAGTCTATGTGGAAGCCATGGAACTACCTGACAGGGGAGATGGGAGCTACCCCAGGACCAGTCAGTCCAGAGAAGGAGAAAGGAGATACTCCAGCACCAGTCAGTCCAGAGAGGGAGAAAGGAGCTACCCCAGGACCGGTCAGTCCAGAGAGGGAGAAAGGAGCTACCCCAGGACCGGTCAGTCCAGAGAGGGAGAAAGGAGCTACCCCAGGACCAGTCAGTCCAGAGAGGGAGAAAGGAGCTACCCCAGGACCAGTCAGTCCAGAGAGGGAGAAAGGAGCTACTCCAGGACCAGTCAGTCCAGAGAGGGAGAAAGGAGCTACCCCAGGACCGGTCAGTCCAGAGAGGGAGAAAGGAGCTACCCCAGGACCGGTCAGTCCAGAGAGGGAGAAAGGAGCTACCCCAGGACCGGTCAGTCCAGAGAGGGAGAAAGGAGCTACCCCAGGACCGGTCAGTCCAGAGAGGGAGAAAGGAGCTACTCCAGGACCAGTCAGTCTAGAGAGGGAGAAAGGAGCTACCCCAGGACCGGTCAGTCCAGAGAGGGAGACAGAGGGAACCCCAGAGGCCTCTGTGACTGTCAGCGGATCTATCTCCACTGGCTCTTCAGGTTAGTACAAACATTTTGTTTGGTTTCTGTTCCGTGTTTTGAGACATACAAATGTAGAAAACAGGATTGATTAAGACAATGAGAATAAGTAGAGAAACACACGGAATGAAAAGTTAAAGAAAGTGCTTAAAAGAGGGAGCCAGAGGGAAATGTTGTGTGTAATTATGTGTGTTTGAGCAGGCGGGTAGGTTTGTCCGGGTCAGAAACTGTGTCGTAATTCTTTAAGGGCCGGCCTTTTCAGATGTCAGGCCTTCTTATTACAGTTCTCTGGTCCAATTCAACCCAAAGACATAAAGGTTTCACGGAGAAGGGAACGCTGGTTTTCTGCCTTGTTGAGCGTATTATTCTAATAAAGGGTTTTCTGTCTTGCTCACGTGAGCTGTGAGATGGGGCTGGTAAGAACCAACTGCACAATACAAGACAAAAGGCTTAGAAGTCTCGGTCTCTCAGGAAACACACTTTGAATGTGTGACATTCTCTCTGGTATGCTTTTGCTAAATCTCACCCCCTGCATTCATCCTTTCTAGTCCGTTTAGAGTCTTCTCTCCCTCTCTCTTTTTCAGACGTGGGAGAACTGGAAACCCACACAGCAGCCACTGGTGAGCCATCGACGTCCACGGGCCACCTCGCCTCTGCCACAGCCACAGAGAGCCAGTCATCCGCCTCTACCGCTGGACTGTGGTCGGCTGTCTCAGACGCCACCAAGCCCGAGGAGGGGACGTGGATCCAGGTGGCCCCGTGGAAGGTTCAGACGTCACTCGAGCCGGATGATGGGAGACAGGGTGAGGTTTCCACTAGGGTGGATGTCCTGGTGGGTGCGGTGAGAGAGACAGGTGAAGAGGAGGGGAGCTCTGAGGGGACCGCTGAGGAAGTCGCAGGGCCGATGCTGTTCACCTTTCACCCCACTGCATCAGACACGCCCAAACTAAGAATCCCTCCTTCAGAAGAGACAACCACGAGCAGGAACCAGACAAAACCTAGTCCCAGCCCGACCCAACACCATGTCAGCGGCTCCACCTCTGGGTCAGACATCAGGGACTCTTCCCCTTCACTCATACCAGGTGCTGGACCTCCAGCCCCTTCACCTTCAGCTCCAGTCAGCTCCAGGGAGACCTCTCCGTCCAACTCCTGGATCCCAGTAAAGGCTACTGTAGAGCAGGGGGATGTTGGGGAGAGTAGGCCCTTGACGATGCCCTCCGGACCACCAGTGGAGGAGGATACAGTCTGGTCCTATTCGCTCAGCTCCGGGTTGCCTAGCAACGTAGACGAGGAGGGCGGCGGATTGAACCGGAGCAACGGAACTCTGGCCTCGGCTGGTGAGTACACATCTGTCTGTTAGCTGTTGGCTTTTAAATCACAAAGCTTATCGACACACCAACTTCCCATTTCTATTTCTGTCTATCACTGTCTCGGTCACAGGGATCTCTACAACCACCGTCTGTTTTTCAATCCAGAGATAACAGTGCTTTCTTCCAAACTGCAGTGTTCCCTGCACAGCCAATAGAAAGGTAGACATAGAAAGAGGTCTGATAATGTTGACTGTATATCCGGCGCACGCTTCAGTGCCTCGTTCCCTTTCCTGAGCTTTTTCTCAAATCATAATGAATCGGGCCTGTAGCTGGAACACCATATTGCCCTGCTCTCCCTTGAGAATTTCTGAAACACATTTCTGTGCTGATTTATTTTTGCTCTCTCTGCAACAGCAATGACCATGTGCTGTATAACCAAAGATGGGGAGTTGTATTATTTAATATTTCTGGAATGCAAGCCAGGGAAAACCTTACCATTAAATTACATGATGGGATGTTGCTCATTGAGTTGTCAGCCTCTGTTGGGACATTGAGGAGTAGTCGACATTATTGACTTGTATTTTCGCCGTAGTTCCACCCTTTACATAAACAGTCCCACTACACAAACAGAAGCAGCAAATTAATGAGATAATGGAAATATGCATCAATATATCTTCCTTTCTGCTTGTCTGTGTTTGTGTGTGTTTGTGTGTCTGTCTGTGCTTTCTTGTGTCTGCGTGTGTTTGTGTGTGTATGGACTATTTAAGGTGACCTCATCAGACTGTATAACCAACGAGAGATCTCAGGTTCCTTATAAAGGACCATCAGACTGTATAACCAACGAGAGATCTCAGGTTCCTTATAAAGGACCATCAGACTGTATAACCAACGAGAGATCTCAGGTTCCTTATACAGGACCATCAGACTGTATAACCAATGAGAGGTCTCAGGTTCCTTATACAGGACCATCAGACTGTATAACCAACGAGAGATCTTAGGTTTCTTATACAGGACCATCAGACTGTATGACCAACGAGAGATCTCAGGTTCCTTATACAGGACCATCAGACTGTATAACCAATGAGAGGTCTCAGGTTCCTTATACAGGACCATCAGACTGTATAACCAATGAGAGGTCTCAGGTTCCTTATACAGGACCATCAGACTGTATAACCAATGAGAGATCTCAGGTTCCTTATACAGGACCATCAGACTGTATAACCAACGAGAGATCTCAGGTTCCTTATACAGGACCATCAGACTGTAAAACCAACGAGAGGTCTCAGGTTCCTTATACAGGACCATCAGGCTGTATAACCAACGAGAGATCTCAGGTTCCTTATACAGGACCATCAGACTGTATAACCAATGAGAGGTCTCAGGTTCCTTATACAGGACCATCAGACTGTATAACCAATGAGAGGTCTCAGGTTCCTTATACAGGACCATCAGACTGTATAACCAACGAGAGATCTCAGGTTCCTTATACAGGACCATCAGACTGTATAACCAACGAGAGATCTCAGGTTCCTTATACAGGACCATCAGACTGTAAAACCAACGAGAGGTCTCAGGTTCCTTATACAGGACCATCAGACTGTATAACCAATGAGAGGTCTCAGGTTCCTTATACAGGACCATCAGACTGTATAACCAACGAGAGATCTTAGGTTTCTTATACAGGACCATCAGACTGTATGACCAACGAGAGATCTCAGGTTCCTTATACAGGACCATCAGACTGTATAACCAATGAGAGGTCTCAGGTTCCTTATACAGGACCATCAGACTGTATAACCAATGAGAGGTCTCAGGTTCCTTATACAGGACCATCAGACTGTATAACCAATGAGAGATCTCAGGTTCCTTATACAGGACCATCAGACTGTATAACCAACGAGAGATCTTAGGTTTCTTATACAGGACCATCAGACTGTATGACCAACGAGAGATCTCAGGTTCCTTATACAGGACCATCAGGCTGTATAACC